TGGGAATTGAATTTTTAAAATTATTTTGACTGAAAGAGTTGGTCAAATCGACCATAGTATTTAAGCTTACACTTGCTTAATGATTTGAAGGTCTTGGTCTTGTAAATATTGTTTTAGCGCTTTTTTCCAATTATTACCAGGACCTACAGATTTCTGTCATGTGTTGAATAGGCTACAAATATATGTAATATATGTGGATATAACAGTAGTTATTAACAATTGATCAACTCGTAAAAGTTCTCCTAGGTACCTATATGTTTTTGTAATGAAGGATTTGTATTGATATTTATCAACTGCCTAATAATAACTGTACGCTGTAAATGTTCTTTTTATTATAGTAGTAACTGAACTAAAAGTATGTTTAAGTATTAAATCTATTTTTTACTTTTAGTTGTCGTGTAGATAAGTAGCGTTTGATCTTCTCATTAGTTATTGCACTACTTATCATTACTTGATTTATTTCTTTTTATTTGGTAAATTTTTATATACAGTTTGCCTTGAATTTCATTGAGTTTTTTTATGAAATTTAAATATTAAATACAAAAAATTTTCGGGTGTTAGATTAATTTCAAAAAAGGGTTGCAAGAGAAAAGACATTAGATGTAAACTTAAAGTATGTCCATAAAAATTAGTGGCTGTTACTTGAAGATCCGTTTTTAAAAAGAGTTTATTAGTCCTTACTTGTATTTTTTTTAATGAGTAAATATTGATAATTCCGCATATGGTATCTGAATATATATTCAAAAAAGTAAATAAAGTAGGAATTAAAAAAAAATTGTTACCATAGATAACTTTTTGATATTTCGATCCGATGTTATCTATGGACTCGATTCTTCCATAGATCATTTCTTATTCCTACGCCAATATGTCATGTGTACGCTAATAAACTAATAAATCATTTGCTACGAACGTTTGATATAATCGTTTGTTTATGATAAATCATGTAATAAATGTAAGGTTACTGCGGTTAATCTTTGGTGTTTCCAGTAAAAACTGATGATTTTATTGATATTTTCCTAATACTTTTCTTCTGAAAGCTGTAGTATTGTAGTTGACTGGCTGTAATTATTTGAAATACGACATGTTTTATCATTTTTGAAAAATGATTAACTTGAAAGGGTAGACACATTTTGTAGAAATATACAACAAGCTAATCGTTATCGCAAAGGTAGTATAATAGTATTAATTTTCGAGAAAATAAACATCTATGAAATAACTAATTATACAACATTAGTTTCTTGAAAACAAGTTTTAACGGGAAAAATGGGTGGCTGCCGATGTAGTTTCAGAAACTGCAAAAGTGCTACTAAAAATTGTGACAGTATACATTTTTTTCATTATCCTGTGAAAAATCGGGCCAGATGTAAACAGTGGATCGAAAATGCACGACGACCAGAATTTTTCAACTTACCAGAAGACCAGCTTCGTAATAAAGTCGTATGTGAATTGCATTTTGAATCAAAATGTTTTTGCAACCCTACTAGAAAAAGACTTTTACATGATGCAGTACCTACATTAGATTTAGGCTGTAAAGAAGAGGATAGTAGAAATAATGAAGAATATGAAGATCATTGTATCTATAATAATGTTCAGGTACTACCTGCCAATGCTGATGGTACAATTTTCACTGTTGATACAGAAGGTATACAGCAACTGTGCGAGTCTGATGAAATTGATACTTATGTATATAGAAATGGCGTACTTACTCCAGTTCTTAAAAGTGAGACAAGATTTTATTGTGACAATGAAACAATTGTTTATGCTGTACCTGAGGATGTAGTACAGAGCTATGAAAATAGTAATAGCATTATAGACAATTTATCACAAGAAAGCAGTAATGATGCAACATCTTCAAATATAAATAGTCATATAGTTCAAGATTATCCTCGTCTTCAAGAAAATGTTTTTGATATAAACCAAACTCGACATTTTGCACCTCTTGTGAAGCATGAGAATGCTCAGCATGCTATTGATGAAAACAAGCTTCAACAAGAGAATGTTATTTGCACAGAAATTGAAATTAGCTCAAATGAAGAAAATTCTAATACCAGCAGTAATTTTCCTGTACTTAAGCAAACTGAAAAAAATATCTGTCCAAAACAAAATACATTGAAAAGAAAAAGACAAATACAAAAAAGAATATTACAAAAACTAAATCATCATAGTCAAGAAATTAATAATATTAAAAATCTGTTAAAATCTAATCTAACTTTTTTACCAAAAAAGCAATTGCAAAATGTAGCCTTAAGAGTATTGGAGCAATCTATACCTAGCACTTTGTATGAAATTATTTTGAAAACCTTAAAAAAGAAACCAAATAAGCCATTGCAAAATAATGATTTTTTCCAAAAGTTGTATTTAACGTCACCAAAAGCATACCATTTGTTGCAGGAAGAGAATTGGTGTATTCCTAGAAATTTTAACAAAGAAGATATATTGAACTTACAAAATAGTAAAAGTACCCAAACAAATAATCAAAATTGTAATGTTCAAAGTAGTCAAACATGTAGTCTGGAAGGTCGAAGTGTTAAAAGTGTTCAAACATTAGATGTGAAAGATCACTTAACTGAAAATATTTTAGGAAATATTGAATCAACCACTCAAAATATGACTAATTTCTGCACTGTAGGTACACAGTGTTTTTCAGAAATGGTGAGACAGAACACAATAGGCATTCAGTCTCTTTTGGATCAGGCTTTAATAACACAAAGCACAATTGGTACACAATGCTCTTTTAATAGTAATTTAACTGAAGCTAACAATTTTCCAGAAAGTGTGCAAAATCCCATGGCCAGTGATCTTTTAAATAATGACATTAAGCAGAGTATGGATGTAGAAGACCAGAAGACAGAGCAAGAAATTTGTGCTCAAAAATTGTTAAGAAGTGATGATGTTCAAATATGTGAAAGTTTGTAATCAATATGTACACATTTGTTTTATATTTACATCTACATTAATTGTTTTTAAGCAAACATAATTGAATATCATTTCTATGTTTACATTTTAATTATTCACGATAGGAAAAAAGGGGTTTTAACTATAAATAGTTAAATTTCTATCACTTGCTGAAGTGATTACAAAACACAATCATTTTCTTCTAGAAATGAAAAAAATTTTCAACCCCTTCAGGGGGAAGTACCTAAAAGTAATTTTAGTGGATCCAAATAGAATAGAAATAGAACTAAGAGTGTATAAATTGAATACTATTTGGGGGCACATGAATTTCAAAATTCCAGCCATAATTTTTAAATTGATTGCTTTGTAATTAGTAATAATGGTGAGAATTTAGTGATTAGTGTATGTAAATTAGTTAATTAGGTGTTTTATTTTAGTAATTGTGTATCACTAGCTATAATAACTATCTAACTATAGTTTATGTATTTTTATATTGTTTAGTTCTGCTTTACTGTTATTGTTGTAGTACTTTTTTATTTTTTATTTCAGCAACCGGGTAAATTAAACTTAAAAAATTTCTCGGTCGTGACAGAAACTATAGCCAGAATGAATATTTGCGGCAATGATAACCGAAGTTCGAAATACGGCACCGCTCCATTAGCTACTCCTGAAGTAGTTGATTTAGGTTCAGAATATGCGCAAGTTAAGGATATGGTTCATCCTTACTCGAGGGATACTGAATATATGTATACATTAGTACAGGATGCTATTAGTGGCAAGGCCAAATTAAGACAGAGACGCGAGAAGGGTCAGCCATGTAAGATAGAAATCGAAAATGACGGCAAGCATTTTAGTAAAGTTCTTCCAGCCTATTCTGATACTGATAGTGAGTGGAGTAGTTTAGAACGCAGGCAAAGAGCTAGCGAGGTCTATTCTAAAGTAAATCGCAAACCAGGAACTCACAAAAGAACGCGAAGAAAAAGAACTGTTATTCCTGTACAACCGCCTAGAGTACCGCAATTAGGCGCTAATTATTCGCTAGTTCCTGTACAGGCCACGCCTAATAACGATGTCGAAACAGATAAAGCTAATGGTAAGTACCTTTTTGATATGTGTAATCTAATATCCCGAAGTTACATAATAGACGGAGCCTATTAAACTAGGTAACCTGAGTTAATAAAACGAAGGCGTCTAGTTTTATTTGGAATTATGGAAAAACTATATTTCGCCAAGCCACTGTCTATATATTATTGTGTATTATAGAATAACATTTGATTCGCAAACTGCTTTTTAACAATTTTACATTTATAGCATATATTTTAAAAACTTCTTCATTTTAATACTGTTTTGTATTCTGAAAGAATAACAAAAGTCACTAAATGCACTCAAGCAGTTAATCAGAACGCGTAAAGAGAAATGGTCAGCTACATTTTTCCCAAAGAAAATGGACTGCATTATCCAAACCAGACTGTGGTTGGTTAATTACTTTAATTGTTGGTTTATTGCTACTAGAGTTGAAAAACTAAAAAAGGAAATATTTCATAGGTTTCGATAAGTGATAAAACCGTATTCTGAAAAGGGTTCAATATGCAGATGGGACGTTTCGACAAAGAAAAAACAATCTTGGACTACAGCCGTCAGTCCGAATATTGAATCCTCTTCAGATAACACCGGTCGTGATAGCCTTAACCGTATTATTTTCCTGAAACATATTTAAGAATTAAAAAAATCTTCGAATATGGTTTACTTTAAAAATATTTCGTTTATTACCTATTTTTTAATTATTTCCTTTGCCTTGTTCTCCTTGATAAGTAATTTTTGTTTTTAGTTGGCACCGATTCTAATTCGGAATCTTCAGAAGTGAGTGATGTCGAACAATTTCCATCACAGACTGAGCCCCTTCACAGGTTTTCTCAAAAGCGCTCCTTTAGCTTAAAGAAACGTGTACCTGTGCCAGTAGTTGTACCAGTTCCGCCTGAACTACATAATACTCATAATTTGAATCTCAATTCACCAGACTTGTTTTTGGTTAAACCAAATTCGTATGTAAATATACATGACGACGAATCTAGCATAGATGTTTCTTCACCACATGACAATTCCCAAATGGTAAGTTAATTGTATTGAATTATTTTGTTAATTTCATATTCATGTGATTATAGTTTGGCGTTCTTCCGAAACATTATAAAGATGTTGAAAGAGAAAAGATTTTAAGAAAGAGGGAGAAACAAAAGGCAAAAGACGAATCCAAATTAGAGAAGCGTAAATTAAAGGAGGAGAAGCTACGTAAGATAGCTGATAAAGAAAAGGAAAGAGATAAGAAGAAGCAACAAAAATTGAAACAGAAATCAGCTTCAACTGGAGGAATACCAAAAATTGCAGACTTCATTCAGGTAGTAATATTATTTCCATGTTATTAAAACACTTATATTATTAATTATTGCAGTCTGATATCAATTATATTCCCCTTTTTATCGAAAAATGTGTGAAGTTTATAGAAGAAGAAGGCTTAGATTCTGAAGGAATATATAGAGTTCCTGGCAATAGAGCACATGTTGACTTGCTGTTTCAAAAATTTGAAGAAGGTAATAATATAATTTACATATTTAATTTAGGCTTACTAAGTAAAAATTTTAGATCCAAATATTAAAATTCATGAATTAGATATACCTGTTAATACTGTAGCTACTGCTTTAAAAGACTTCGTATCGAAACGTTTGCCTCCATTATTTGAAGAGGATATTATGACTGAACTGGAAGAGATTGCAGGTATTTAATGTGACAAATTAAAGTTGTTTGTAAATCTATTTGCAGCTAATAACAATTTTAGGTACGAGAATTAAGCCAATGGCTACAACTACAGGTAATATGGAAGTAAAAGCTGACCGTAGTTGCCGACTTCTTGCATTGCGAAGTATGCTAGATAAACTTCCGCCTGTTAACTTTGCCGTTTTGAAATTCATCTTTCAACATTTTGTAAGGTAAAATTTAAAATTTCTACAAATTTCTATAAACCTTAATTTCATGATTGAAGTTTACTATATGAATCAAAGCTTTTATGAGATAGCAGGTAGCACATTTCTAACATTCGTTAGCGACTCATTTTTAAAAACCGTGCTGCCTGTTACTTGTAGACATATGATGCAAAATATCTTAGCACTTTAGAAGGTTAGATTTTTTGATAAGAGTTGTATGTCCAAAACATTTCTCGCCAAACAGACCAACCTTCATCTAATAATAATGGAGACCTTTACTGACAATTGTTTTCTTATTTAGAGTGGCAGAAAATTCTAAGTTGAATAACATGGACAGCAAAAATTTGGCAATATGTTGGTGGCCAACGTTACTTCCAATTGAGTTTAGTGACATGGGCAGATTTGAACAGATGCGTCCATATTTAGAAGATATCGTCCAAACAATGATCGACCAGTATCCATTTCTATTCTGTGGCAAAGAAGCGTTCGTAATGGTATAATAGTTTTTCAGGGAGCTGTTACGCACAAATTAAAACATTCCAACAATAAGTAAAACTTAAAATCGGGGGCCTTCCTGATGTCACGTTTACTCGAATAAAGGTAGACATTTTGGAAATATGTTGACAGATTTTGTATTTTCGTATAAGTGGCTGATGTTATCAGTTGTGGTGATTGGTATTTTTACAATAGTAGGATAAATGCTTCTGAATAATTGAAACGTTAAAAAGGAAGGAGAAATTGTTGATAATAATTTTCAAATTGTAATGAGCAAATTTATTAAGAGGAAAATGCTCTTGAATAAGCTTCAGATTTTTGATTTTGGTAAAAATTTATATTTACCATTTTCTATTGATGACTGACTGAAAGGTACAATGCTATTAAAAAATGATATAGGATTATTACCCATATCCGTGTTGTGTGTAAATTTATAAAAAATTGATACTTTGATGTTGTGTTCCCTTGGCAGAAAATGTATTCTTAATACAAAAAACATGCAAATTACTTACACTTACACTTTTTTTTTATAATAACAAACATTCTGTCTTTTAGTCACTTTTAGTTACAGTGTAATCCACAATTTATACTTTTTTTACTCAAAAGGGCTTTAATTAATACTCAATTAGATAATTAGCTTTTTTTAATTTTATAATTGACGACGTATATTTAAAATAGCTTTAATTTATATGTGATGCTCATTATCGAAATTAACAGTTTGCTTTTTTTGCATATATAATAAAAATAATACAGGTTAACACAAATTTCAAGGCATAGAGAAAAAGATCCCATAAAACAGTACAATTTAGATGAAAATAATTATAATACGTATTTTGCACTATTACCAGTGATAACAAGTATTTGTAGCTGTTTAGCCATAAAAACGTTTAATTATTTTACAATGTAACAGTAATTGGTATTTTTGTTGAAATATTGTGGATTATATTACCTGGTTAAAATGCTTCGTTTTCATTAGAAAATGTGTCTTAATAAAAATTAGTATTTCAATTGTAATAATTTTTTGTATAATTTATTGTAACATCTTGCGCAGCAATGAGAGGTAAACTAAGCTGGTCACGGCTTTTCTAGTCTGACTTTTGGATCAAGTAGGTCCATGCTATCAATGTAATTTGGTGTAATTGAATTTTATAATGGTGATATATTCTGTTTATTATTTATTAATTTTTATTATTATTGTTTCATATTTAACTGAAATATATATTATTGACCACAGTATGTATATGCAATTCTTGTTTAGCTAAACGTTCAGATATATCTGTTTCTTTTTCTGGGAATTGAATTTTTAAAATTATTTTGACTGAAAGAGTTGGTCAAATCGACCATAGTATTTAAGCTTACACTTGCTTAATGATTTGAAGGTCTTGGTCTTGTAAATATTGTTTTAGCGCTTTTTTCCAATTATTACCAGGACCTACAGATTTCTGTCATGTGTTGAATAGGCTACAAATATATGTAATATATGTGGATATAACAGTAGTTATTAACAATTGATCAACTCGTAAAAGTTCTCCTAGGTACCTATATGTTTTTGTAATGAAGGATTTGTATTGATATTTATCAACTGCCTAATAATAACTGTACGCTGTAAATGTTCTTTTTATTATAGTAGTAACTGAACTAAAAGTATGTTTAAGTATTAAATCTATTTTTTACTTTTAGTTGTCGTGTAGATAAGTAGCGTTTGATCTTCTCATTAGTTATTGCACTACTTATCATTACTTGATTTATTTCTTTTTATTTGGTAAATTTTTATATACAGTTTGCCTTGAATTTCATTGAGTTTTTTTATGAAATTTAAATATTAAATACAAAAAATTTTCGGGTGTTAGATTAATTTCAAAAAAGGGTTGCAAGAGAAAAGACATTAGATGTAAACTTAAAGTATGTCCATAAAAATTAGTGGCTGTTACTTGAAGATCCGTTTTTAAAAAGAGTTTATTAGTCCTTACTTGTATTTTTTTTAATGAGTAAATATTGATAATTCCGCATATGGTATCTGAATATATATTCAAAAAAGTAAATAAAGTAGGAATTAAAAAAAAATTGTTACCATAGATAACTTTTTGATATTTCGATCCGATGTTATCTATGGACTCGATTCTTCCATAGATCATTTCTTATTCCTACGCCAATATGTCATGTGTACGCTAATAAACTAATAAATCATTTGCTACGAACGTTTGATATAATCGTTTGTTTATGATAAATCATGTAATAAATGTAAGGTTACTGCGGTTAATCTTTGGTGTTTCCAGTAAAAACTGATGATTTTATTGATATTTTCCTAATACTTTTCTTCTGAAAGCTGTAGTATTGTAGTTGACTGGCTGTAATTATTTGAAATACGACATGTTTTATCATTTTTGAAAAATGATTAACTTGAAAGGGTAGACACATTTTGTAGAAATATACAACAAGCTAATCGTTATCGCAAAGGTAGTATAATAGTATTAATTTTCGAGAAAATAAACATCTATGAAATAACTAATTATACAACATTAGTTTCTTGAAAACAAGTTTTAACGGGAAAAATGGGTGGCTGCCGATGTAGTTTCAGAAACTGCAAAAGTGCTACTAAAAATTGTGACAGTATACATTTTTTTCATTATCCTGTGAAAAATCGGGCCAGATGTAAACAGTGGATCGAAAATGCACGACGACCAGAATTTTTCAACTTACCAGAAGACCAGCTTCGTAATAAAGTCGTATGTGAATTGCATTTTGAATCAAAATGTTTTTGCAACCCTACTAGAAAAAGACTTTTACATGATGCAGTACCTACATTAGATTTAGGCTGTAAAGAAGAGGATAGTAGAAATAATGAAGAATATGAAGATCATTGTATCTATAATAATGTTCAGGTACTACCTGCCAATGCTGATGGTACAATTTTCACTGTTGATACAGAAGGTATACAGCAACTGTGCGAGTCTGATGAAATTGATACTTATGTATATAGAAATGGCGTACTTACTCCAGTTCTTAAAAGTGAGACAAGATTTTATTGTGACAATGAAACAATTGTTTATGCTGTACCTGAGGATGTAGTACAGAGCTATGAAAATAGTAATAGCATTATAGACAATTTATCACAAGAAAGCAGTAATGATGCAACATCTTCAAATATAAATAGTCATATAGTTCAAGATTATCCTCGTCTTCAAGAAAATGTTTTTGATATAAACCAAACTCGACATTTTGCACCTCTTGTGAAGCATGAGAATGCTCAGCATGCTATTGATGAAAACAAGCTTCAACAAGAGAATGTTATTTGCACAGAAATTGAAATTAGCTCAAATGAAGAAAATTCTAATACCAGCAGTAATTTTCCTGTACTTAAGCAAACTGAAAAAAATATCTGTCCAAAACAAAATACATTGAAAAGAAAAAGACAAATACAAAAAAGAATATTACAAAAACTAAATCATCATAGTCAAGAAATTAATAATATTAAAAATCTGTTAAAATCTAATCTAACTTTTTTACCAAAAAAGCAATTGCAAAATGTAGCCTTAAGAGTATTGGAGCAATCTATACCTAGCACTTTGTATGAAATTATTTTGAAAACCTTAAAAAAGAAACCAAATAAGCCATTGCAAAATAATGATTTTTTCCAAAAGTTGTATTTAACGTCACCAAAAGCATACCATTTGTTGCAGGAAGAGAATTGGTGTATTCCTAGAAATTTTAACAAAGAAGATATATTGAACTTACAAAATAGTAAAAGTACCCAAACAAATAATCAAAATTGTAATGTTCAAAGTAGTCAAACATGTAGTCTGGAAGGTCGAAGTGTTAAAAGTGTTCAAACATTAGATGTGAAAGATCACTTAACTGAAAATATTTTAGGAAATATTGAATCAACCACTCAAAATATGACTAATTTCTGCACTGTAGGTACACAGTGTTTTTCAGAAATGGTGAGACAGAACACAATAGGCATTCAGTCTCTTTTGGATCAGGCTTTAATAACACAAAGCACAATTGGTACACAATGCTCTTTTAATAGTAATTTAACTGAAGCTAACAATTTTCCAGAAAGTGTGCAAAATCCCATGGCCAGTGATCTTTTAAATAATGACATTAAGCAGAGTATGGATGTAGAAGACCAGAAGACAGAGCAAGAAATTTGTGCTCAAAAATTGTTAAGAAGTGATGATGTTCAAATATGTGAAAGTTTGTAATCAATATGTACACATTTGTTTTATATTTACATCTACATTAATTGTTTTTAAGCAAACATAATTGAATATCATTTCTATGTTTACATTTTAATTATTCACGATAGGAAAAAAGGGGTTTTAACTATAAATAGTTAAATTTCTATCACTTGCTGAAGTGATTACAAAACACAATCATTTTCTTCTAGAAATGAAAAAAATTTTCAACCCCTTCAGGGGGAAGTACCTAAAAGTAATTTTAGTGGATCCAAATAGAATAGAAATAGAACTAAGAGTGTATAAATTGAATACTATTTGGGGGCACATGAATTTCAAAATTCCAGCCATAATTTTTAAATTGATTGCTTTGTAATTAGTAATAATGGTGAGAATTTAGTGATTAGTGTATGTAAATTAGTTAATTAGGTGTTTTATTTTAGTAATTGTGTATCACTAGCTATAATAACTATCTAACTATAGTTTATGTATTTTTATATTGTTTAGTTCTGCTTTACTGTTATTGTTGTAGTACTTTTTTATTTTTTATTTCAGCAACCGGGTAAATTAAACTTAAAAAATTTCTCGGTCGTGACAGAAACTATAGCCAGAATGAATATTTGCGGCAATGATAACCGAAGTNAAATATATATTATTTTTGATTTGCTTTATTGTTGCGATACATGGTTTCTCACTCTCTTTATGTTTATGTCGATGATTTAATGGCGTCTGTGTAGAGGCGGTGGGTGGTGGTAGGCTAAGCGATGGCTAAACGTGGGTTAAACGGAACAGTTTGACAGTGCATAAATTTTCCAAAATCCTTCTTAAAAACAAAAAATTTCTAAAGTAGTTTCTGTTATTGCTGTTTTGTACTTTAAGAGATGAACAATACAGCCTTATGAACCCAAAAAGAATAAATAAATTCATGGTATTAAGATGCTCTTTAAGAACATCGTTAGAGTATGCATTATGAATGGATAGTCTGTTTATTAATGAATAATGTTAAGGTATAGTACAGCATATTTTTTTGTCATTTAAAATGTCAGTTAACATGATAGATTTGTAATATATTTATGTTTGAAAAATCAATCTACTAGTTCTTTTGTAGAAGTTATCATTTTACCGCTCACGTCTGTTTCTTGAAGAACTGATTTCGACTTTGTGTTATTACTTTTGTGATACATCCTTGTTATATTGTATTTTGTCGTTAGATTAGAAACATCATGATATATCGAAGTGACATTACATAAAGTATAGAGAAACAAAAATTTAAAATGGCACGTAAAGCAGACACTGTACGTGCTGTAAACATATCTGTAGTTGGCTTGTCTGGTATGGAAAAAGATAAAGGTCATGCAGGAGTTGGGAAGTCATGCCTTTGTAATCGTTTTATGAGACACTTAGCAGATGACTATAATGTTGATCACATTTCAGTATTAAGTCAAGTAAGTGTACAAAGTGACATATTCGAATCACGAAATTGTGAGGGTATATTTATTTTTCTGTAGTCAGACTTCAGTGGACGAGTTGTCAATAATGACCACTTTTTATATTGGGGTGAAGTTATAAAAACTTCAGAAGAAGGAGTAGATTATCAGTTCAATGTAATAGAGCAAACTGAGTTTATTGATGATGCATCATTCCAACCATTTAAAGGTTTGGTTTTGCTTATTTAAATTTTATAGGCCATTTTATATAAATTGTAACATTCATGCATGGAATTTTAACAACTCTGCTAAATAATTACACATGTATAGTCGATGTCTATTGTAGTGCAAATTTTACTACAAGTGTTTCTTGATAATATTTGTCATTTATAGTAGTAAATTATCCAATTTTATCATTTTGTAAAAATAAACTTATTTTTAAGTAAAATTAGTGAGTGAATTTTGCACTTTATAGGAGGCAAAATGGAACCTTATGTAAAAAGATGTGCAGCAACTAAAATTCAGTCAGCAGAAAAACTTATGTATATTTGTAAAAATCAATTAGGAATTGAAAAGGAGTATGAGCAAAAAGTTTTACCCGATGGAAAGTTAAACATTGATGGTTTTATTTGTGTCTTTGATGTTAGTGTTGTGCCAAGTCGATCAATAGAAAAGCAAATAGAAATTGTTGCTGCAGTACTAAACAACCTTATTAAAACCAAAAAACCTATAGTAATCGTTACTACCAAAAATGATGATGCAAATGAACAGTATATTAAAGAGGTTGAAAAATTGGTCCAGCGAAAAGAATACAAGGGTCAGATTCCTTTAATTGAAACATCTTCTCATGAAAATGTGAATGTAGATTTAGCTTTTATCTATCTGGCTCAGATTATAGATAGGAGCAAGGTGCGTTCAAAAATAATCCCTTATAATGAAGCAGCTCGAGCAAGAAAGGAACTTTTAGATGCGGCTAGTGAAGCATTTTTACGTTTAATTAGAATACACGTAACTGATTGTAGAGCACTTTGGTCTCAGACTGTCAAAAAATTGAATAATCATAAGGAATGGGTCTACTTTGTACAACTTTTTGGTAAGCCATACATTATGTGATAAGGTAATTGAATTTTTAATTGAAATGTAATTAGGACTTGATGGCACACAAAGGTTGTTTAGGAGACATATAAAAAAACTTAAAGAAGAACAGTTGGCTAAAAAGATTGCCCACTATATGGAAATGCTTCCAGATATTCTACATGAACTAGTACCAAACATTAATACATTAACAGAAAGGTAATTTCTTTAAATTTGAATTTATTCCATTTATTTTTCAACAAGGTACAAATTAAAATTTTGTTTAAAGATAAACAATTTAACACGTTTTTATTGGTTTAGTGACTGGCCATCAATTCAGCAGTATCTAAAGTCTCATCCTGATTTCTCCCAGTACTTTTATGAATGCCCAGAAGATGTTTCTTGGACTGAATGTGAACTTAATTCTGATAATGAAGATGCAAGGATTCCTTATGATGTATTGGATACAAGTGATGCAGAAACAGTTTATAAAAACCATGTAAATGTTCTCCAACAAGAACAGAAACGTTTGGAGTAAGTTCAGATATGTTTTATATCTTTTTTGTTAAAAAATATATGTTCTTCTGGTTGTCTTGGTTTAAGCACTTCTCTTTAAATTTTGTAAATATGCTTTGTTTTCTAATTTCTATTTTGTTATAACCACCTTATTCAGGATGCCCAAACGGTGAGTTGCTTTACGAATTTATCATGCTTAAGTAGTGTTGTCTTAAGTGTTCTTAGTTCAAAAAGTGCAAATATTTAATTGAATGCAATGTTAAAATTCTACAAAATACCTTTTCTTGTACGGTATTTTATTTATTTATTTATTATATTCTTTATATCTATGTAGGTGGAAAAAACAGTTTAAACAACTTTTGGAAGATACAGGGTATGTTACACCAGGCAAGCATTTGTCTGAGGTACGAGTGCTCTTTATGGGTCGAGAATGCTTTGAAGCATTATCAGAACATGAAGTTCAACAAATTTATGATAACCATCAAAGAGAATTAATAGAAACAACTAAACATAATTTTCAAGTATACATATAGTTGACTTTGTTTATTATGATTATCTTTATTTCTATGAATTGTAGGAATTATTGTTGGAACATGCTGATCTGTTTTATCATTTTAAAAGCTTAGCTCCCTCTGGTACTATTACCCAAGAGGATATAAAAGAAATAACTGACGTTTTACAGGATGACTTTAGGTTAGAAATACATGTGTAATTATATCCTACAATATAAAATATATAATAACTTGATCCTTTTTAGATATAAACTTTTAGACAGACTTGATCAAGATAGAAAGTTAATGCTATTTCAGCATTTAGGTTTCATTCATTGTCCAATTAGAGAACATTGTCCTGCATTTCCAAATTGTATGGATGCGCTTATTGAACGAATTTTAGCCACTAAAGCACACAGGTCTTTTGATACGACCTTTAAGAAAACATAAAGCTGATTTTCTAAATATTTTAGACCTTCCTCTTGGAATCGCAGTACACAGTGGCTTCTGAGTTCAGACAATAATCAATTAAACCTTGTTATACTTGGAATTAACAATTTAGCGGAAGAATTAGCGTCGAAGATTAGAGTATATTGCAGCAGTTGTTTTGTTTTAGTAAAAAAATAACGTTTTGTTAAAATTTTAGACTCAATGTGATGATGACGAATACGAAATAGATTGTCAATTTTATAGTATGGATTATAGAATAATAACTGGGGATGTAAGTTTACCTCACAATTCATTTAGGACTTCAGATTTTGTACCTCACGGGGCATTTTGTGTTTATTCCCATCCGGAGTCGTTCGAGTATATAAGAGAGAGTTTGGAAAAAACTTTGTTATCGAATCTTGAACAAGAAGATAAATTACCATTTCAAGGATTACCAATTGTACTTCTTTTTATGCACGACTCTTATATGGACGAAAAAGAAGTTCTTAAGCTACGTGAAGAAGGCCAGAACCTTGCTGATAGGTATTTTGAAAATTTTAAGCTAGTAGTTTTTATTTATTTGTATTTATTCAGTCTACAGTGTCCTTACATGGACGTCAATCTTGATCAGATTACTGAAGATCAACTGGTTAATGAGGCTCTACATCAATTAATTCAAAGCATACATCATCGAGCTGGATTTTTTAATATATATCAGTCAGTAATTGATTGTGTGGAACCTGATATCAGGTAAATATAAAATATAACAATATAATCAACAAATGTATGAGTTCATTGAGGTACAAATTTCGTATAAACATTTTCTTTCAGGATTATAATGTGTATGTTTTGCGGTGATCCGTATTCTGTAGAGAATATTTTAGCACCGTTATTACAACATCAGTGTTGTTTTCTCTCTGCAGAGCGTAGTATAATTTTAGAAACTTTTCTTGGGGATTCTAAAAGAAAGGTGGAAGTAATTATATCTTCATTTCATGGAGCAAATGCGTTTCGTGATGAACTAGTTCATGGATTTATTTTAGTGTATTCAACAAAAAGAAAAGCGTCTTTAGCTACATTAAAGTATATTTATATTTATTTATTACAAATAGTTCAAAAAAGTAATTTGATTTATGTTGTAGTGCATTTTCTATGAACATTCCAAACCTTCCTATACAAATAATTGCAGTGACTGATGAAGGTGGAGCTAATGCCTTTTTCAGTAATGATTTAAGCCATCATTTAATAACCGAAGGCAATGCTACTGCAGATCAACTTCATGCGCATTTTATGACAACTAATTCTTCGTCACAACAAAAAAGTAACAGTTTTTAAAGAAAATATCCCGATGAATAATTGTTCGTAATATTGTCGTTTTTTTATCAGCTGCTTTCTTTACGCCGTTTTTCAAAGAAGTTTGGGATAAAAAACCTGAAATCGAACAAGCTTTCCACATGGAAGAACCGTCAACTATGGAAGATAGTGGTGAAGGCACATTGGAGCATTCAAGATCACAAAGGCACCACCCTCTTCCACCCCCCAGAAGGGAAAGTTACCATCTAAAGTTAAATGATGGGTAAGTTTTTTATTTTGGTATTAGTCTTTTAAAAGAAATTCATCCTGTTAACCAATGAAGTTCAGTGGATGTGGTTAAATAACAAATACTTAACGTGTAAATTAACTACAAACGACAACATTTTGAAGCTGCAATAATAAAAAATAATTTATTAAATAAATTTTTTTAAATCCTCTTACAGAACATTTATTATAGAGTTTAAATAGTGACTAAAATTATTCGTTATTTTAATGTATTGCTAATTAATTAATTACTGCTACTAATGTCGGAGCATTGGTTAGGTACTATATTCTTATGTTAGTTTATAAGATGGTTGGTAATTATTTTTTGTCTTATTTCAAATTGTTTTTAAAATGTTTGTATCGAAACTTAAGAAATATTATTTGTTTACTAGGTAGATGTATCTTTGTGTTACAGAAGTGGTAGTGAGAACTATGAAGTAAATGGCCCTGATGAACGTTTAAGTTCTAGTGATCACAGCGATAAATATTCACAAATTTATATGTATGGTAGTGAAAATGGTGACATTATATCTTCTAAGAAGCGTCACTTTCATCACGGTAATATTAACTATTTGATTTGTATAGTTCTATACATTTCTTGATTTTACAGGTTTTCAAGTGTATCCACCTCCTACAACTCCGCCGGAACCTGCTCCTCCTGATTTACCACATTCTAGAACTTCAAAGAAGGCTTCAGTTTTATCAGCTTCTCAAACCAGTTTAGATGAAATAACCTGTAAGTGTGTTACAATTAATAATTTATAATAATTTTATTTAACTGTATTTTTTCTCATGCAAACAAAGCTGATATCAGTGGATCCAGAGAATCACTTGCAACTAACGATTCAGGTGATTTTTTTGTTGTGTTGTATGTGTTTTCAAATCAAAAAAAAAAATACGCAACGATTTTTTTGCTCAAGAAGTAAAATTGGAAACGTAATTATTTTACAATGCTTTAGTGTTCGTAGTAGATCTTTATTTTTGTGGTTTTTATCGATAATTTTGTATTATTTTTCTTTATATTTTATATTTCATTTATGAATAATAGTATTTTTTAACAGTATAATTTCTTTATTAGATGGAGAAGCTGATCATCATATTCCAGTAGCAACAAGTTGGAATAATTACAATCAACATGCTTTTACTACTGGCCGCAGGCATATTTCAACTAATAAACAACGTCCTAAAGGTGTATCACAAACATTAAAGGTATGTTTACTTTTTAATTAAAATAAAAACCATTCGGAAAATTCAGTCTTTATTACGTACTGAAGGTTTGCATTGGTTTATGTATTTTTATATTGTTTAGTTCTGCTTTACTGTTATTGTTGTAGTACTTTTTTATTTTTTATTTCAGCAACCGGGTAAATTAAACTTAAAAAATTTCTCGGTCGTGACAGAAACTATAGCCAGAATGAATATTTGCGGCAATGATAACCGAAGTTCGAAATACGGCACCGCTCCATTAGCTACTCCTGAAGTAGTTGATTTAGGTTCAGAATATGCGCAAGTTAAGGATATGGTTCATCCTTACTCGAGGGATACTGAATATATGTATACATTAGTACAGGATGCTATTAGTGGCAAGGCCAAATTAAGACAGAGACGCGAGAAGGGTCAGCCATGTAAGATAGAAATCGAAAATGACGGCAAGCATTTTAGTAAAGTTCTTCCAGCCTATTCTGATACTGATAGTGAGTGGAGTAGTTTAGAACGCAGGCAAAGAGCTAGCGAGGTCTATTCTAAAGTAAATCGCAAACCAGGAACTCACAAAAGAACGCGAAGAAAAAGAACTGTTATTCCTGTACAACCGCCTAGAGTACCGCAATTAGGCGCTAATTATTCGCTAGTTCCTGTACAGGCCACGCCTAATAACGATGTCGAAACAGATAAAGCTAATGGTAAGTACCTTTTTGATATGTGTAATCTAATATCCCGAAGTTACATAATAGACGGAGCCTATTAAACTAGGTAACCTGAGTTAATAAAACGAAGGCGTCTAGTTTTATTTGGAATTATGGAAAAACTATATTTCGCCAAGCCACTGTCTATATATTATTGTGTATTATAGAATAACATTTGATTCGCAAACTGCTTTTTAACAATTTTACATTTATAGCATATATTTTAAAAACTTCTTCATTTTAATACTGTTTTGTATTCTGAAAGAATAACAAAAGTCACTAAATGCACTCAAGCAGTTAATCAGAACGCGTAAAGAGAAATGGTCAGCTACATTTTTCCCAAAGAAAATGGAC